ACATTGCAATCTCCCAGGTGTAGTTTCTGGTTTATTCGACTCAGCTCCGACTCCATATTTCTCTGTTAGACTCCATATCAGACCCGATGTACCTAGCTACACTATACCTATCTTTAAATCTGGCTTCACCCTCTGGTTAGAATAGTGGGGAGACTGAGTCCCAGTCTGAAGCTGCCTTGATTTCTCAGTGCTGCCCATCCTGCATTCTGAACCGGGACCACGAGCCCCCTAGCTTCCTTGTGTTACAGCCCCACCTCCCACATCCCACAGGCTGTGGGCTTGTCCCCAGCTGCTGTGCTGGGCACTGAGGGCCTTCTAGCTGGCTGGTGCTGAAACAACAAAGAACAGCCATCAATGTGGAGGAATTCTGATATGGGCTGCAGAAGGCCAGGGAGAGTGAGGCCAGGGGTTTGCATTACAGAGACCTCTCGGATTTGTGCTGAGAGCAGTAGTGGCCTCTGAAGGATTTGGAAGCACAGACACAGTCAGATTTGCTGTTCACAAGTCATTTTCCAGCTGCCGAGTTGAGTGTTTGGCATTGTGTGAAGTGGCCCTCTTTAGACTTGGGGGGATTGAAGGAGAAAAGTAGGAGAGGTATTGAGATTTCTAGGATCATACTGAATTCCCTAGATGGTCTCCCAGTTTTCTCTAGGATCCGTTTCCTCAATCTTAGCCATTGTTGGCTATACTCCTTATCACGCTCATGACCTAGTTCGAAATCTGAAATGAATATAATGAATAATGGCAATTGCTGAGGCCATTGCCATGGAATACATAGGGAGGGCTAGAGGCATGACTGGAACTTGTGAGAGCCAAGCCTTCTGCTTGCAACTGGGGCTGGGCCTTGGGGGAAGGTTTGGGGAAGGCACCAATTGGTTGAAGGCACCTGCCTGAGGATGTTCAATCTAGGTATACTTCCCACCTGTGTCCTCATTTTTATGAAAAAGAGCCTAGTAGGATGTGCATTTATGAAAGGAGTCCATGTGAGACCTGGAATATGCACTGGGCAGCCCCATGTAATAAGGTTTTGGCCTTTGGCCTCTTTACTCTGTCCTGGGTCAGCGGCTGGGGTGGGGGCCGTGAACTGCAGCTAGAGTGGATCAGGCCTAGATTATGACACCTACAGTTCACTTTGTTGGCTGCTACTGCAGGAAGGCCCTCCAGCAACACCTCTTCTAACTGGGGCCAGTGTCCCCAGCTCAGCAGCACCCCTCCTGTGTGAGTCACTGAGGCATGGGAACTCTTAGTCTACCTCTGACTGTCAGGGAAGGTCTGATCTGGAAGAATGGGTTCAGATCCCCCAGAATCCCAGGAATGGATGGTTTGGTGATCATCTCCCCACTAAGTGTGTGTTTAGGAACTGGTGGCAGTGAGGCAGGTGTGCAGATGTGCAGTGGGGTTACATATCCCCCGTGTATGTGTGGACATGGTGGGGCCATGTGACACTTCATGTTGGGTAGTGTCCTCTTTTCACTCTGTAGTCACCTGCTCCACTTGGCCTCCCAAGTTCTCCCTGCTGACTGGTGATACTTTGGACTGGTGTGGAATGATGGTGGTGTGCTTCAGGGACCTGCAGTTTTCCTATTCCTGGTAAAGTCTGATATGCTTGGGAAAGCACAATTTGAGCCTGTGATATGAAGAATGTGTGTGTGTGTGTGTGTGTGTGTGTGTGTGTGTGTGTGTGTGTGTGTGTGTGTAGGCTTTCTGGTGTGTTTTATGTGTCTGTCTTTGAGTTGCATGTGCCTCTCTGTGTTTCTCCATGAGTTTTCCTGTGTTTGGTGTGTGTCCCATCCTGTGAGTGCAGAAACAGCCTCTGCGTGTATCCTCATGGGCTAGGCAGGCAAAGATGTGACCTACAGTTGATATGAGTCTTCACTGGATGACTGTGCGCAGCCTAGAATTGTGCCAAGTATAGTCTGCACAAAGCTCCCTCTCACTCAATCTCATGAGACAACTTTTCATCACCTCCATCTTTGGTTCTGAAGAGATTCACTGCTCCATTACCTCAGAACAGAGCTGTAATTGATGAAATTAAACCAAAATCTCAAATGAGATTGCAATATCAAATGAGCTCTTTAGGGCTGGGGATGTAGCTCAAGCAGTAGCGCGCTCACCAGGCATGCTTGGGGTCCGGGTTCGATCCTCCTTGCACCACATACAAACAAAGATGTTGTGTCCGCCAAAAACTAAAAAAAAAATAGATATTAAAATTCTCTCTCTCTTTCCCTGTTTTTTTTTTTTTAAAACAACAACAACAACAACAACAACAACAACAACAAAAAAAAAACAAATGAGCTCTTTACCAGGAACTTTGGGTGTCCTACAACTAATGCTGTTTGGCCCCATTTGTTTCCATGTTGTCCTTTTTGACATATGGTTTGAGGACCTGTGATTTAAGTCTTCTCTTTCTTTCACTAAATAAGTAATAAACTCTCTAGCTTATGGTTTCTTTACTGGTCAGTCAAATTAGTCAGGACTTGGCCATAACATGGTGGCTACAGATGAGCAGCAACCTCTTAGAAGACAAGGGACTGAATGGGCTAGGTCAGGTTAAGACAGCCCCTGGGCACAACTTTTGCCTAAATGGTGGTGGTGGTAAGGAATAGGGGTCCTCCTACTGTACTACCTGCTCAGTGTCAGTGACTCTCTAGAACCTGGGGATAGTGTATGCTGCAAATTCATGTAAGTGTTGGAATGTTGAGTGGCAAGAGATGGGATTGAAACCAGTGACCTAATTGGAACCTTGTAAGTGTATGTTGAGGTCAAGTGATCAGCTATTTTAAACCAAAAGTGAACCTACCCTAGCTGAGAATGTGTGCCTGCTGGATGGAGCAAGTTGCTGCTCTGTGAGCCCCCTGACCCCAATTCCCTAAGTTTAATCCCCACCATGGAGTAGGAGGAAGCTTATCATAGGTATGTTTGTTTAGAAAAAAAAAGAAGTATATATATATGGTTTTCGGTACTCCAATTTCAGGTATCCACAGGAATCTTGGACTGTATCTCAGGGATAAGGGAGAAATACTGCATGAATTTTGTACAATGTGCAAGTTCATAAAGTTAGAATCCTTCCTCTGATGTGTGTGCTGTTCACTTCATACATAATGCCTCTACTGGGAAGCTGAGTAGAGTTTCTCAAAATGATATCTGTAGATTCAGAGCACTGAACTATTAGGTAGTCAGAGATACACCTCTTTTACAAAGAACTTTATATTCTTCATGCAAAAGCTGCAATTTTTGTGAAAGCAGGCCCATTTGTCCTGTGGAAAAGAAACTACTTGTCTTTGGACTTTGTCCTGCATGCTCTAAACAGAATGACACTATTGGATCTTTAACTCTTGTAGGTTGATCCAGTCACAAGGCTCTTTGGATAAAGGGCAAATGAGACCCCAAGTGAGGACAACCAGCTGGGTCTGGAGCAAAGCCTTGTTCGTATCAATGGACCTAGTTGCTTAAGTTTTTTGTGAGAAAGGGCCAAGTGATCCTTGACTGTTAAATTAAAGATATGTCAAGGAGGGCCCCATAAAGTTGAGAAATGTATTCTATGGCTGCTGCTCACTACCTACCACTGGTAAAGTGAGATTGCTCCTTTATCACTGGCAGTGGTGAATATTAATAAAATACTCCATGAAGCTCAAGGGCAGTTAATAATACAGATATTCAGGTCCATACTCTGCAGTCTTCTGGGTAGGAAGGAGTGGATAGCACTTGATTGCCTAATGATAGGCTCCATGTGTCAAGCCATCCTGGCATTTTCACTGTGCTAATGACATGAACATAGAAGAATGAATTTTTTTAATGTTTTTATTTTTCAGTTTTAAGCGGACACAATATCTTTATTTTTATGTGGTGCTGAGGATTGAACCCAGTGCCTCATGCATGCGAGACAAGTGCGCTACCACTTGAGCCACATCCCAAGCCCTGGAAAAATGAATTGTAAACTCCAACTAGGGGTGTGACAAAAGGTCTTCATATTTATAGTGTAACATTGCACTGCCCAGATGGATTTCTATCCTTAGAAGTGCTCAGGGACAGTAGGAGGAATAGCTATATCTTCCCAAGGCCAGAGCAACCCCAGTCTGGGTTTATAAAGGAAAACATGC